AACATTACTAAATTGTGTATCTCCTTTATTTTAATTGTTGAAAATTTTAGGGGAACTTGTTAACATTGTATTAAGTGCCAATTTCAGAATATAACCAATTATAGTTTCTTAATAACAGGCCTACAATTATTATTTGATAAAAGACAAACTTATCTGCTGGTTACCTGTATTTGTTAGTCAAATTGTGAAAATAAGGTGAATTACCGAAGATTTGAAAAAATTTTTTAACCTATAGACTCAGTAAATTTCTATCATTTGCTGTTTCTCTCATTTTTGAACATGTATTAGATACCATTATAAATTAACTGAAGTCAGAGTCTTAGATTAGTTATTGGATACCAGAGAGGTGTCTGACAAAATTTCCTTCTTACTATGTACATGTGCTACCTTAAGGAATAAGAAAATCACTTATAAAGAAAGGTTAAAAAATAATAGATATCATTAAAGATTCTCAAAGAACAATGCTTGGATTCTAACAGATATTCCATTTTATTACCCATTAATTCTGTAATATTTCATTTTAGATTATTTTTTTTAATTGGCAAATCATAAGCCAGCTGTATAACAGTATCAGATTTGGAGTTTTATAGAACACTGAGTTCTGTGTTACAAAACCTGGAAAAAGCTAAACTTATTATTGAAATATAATTAGTTCTTTATCTTTCTGTAGTAGGAAGAGTATCAGATTTGGAGTTTCATAGAACGCCTAAACTCTGTATTATAAAGCCTGGAAAAAAGCTGAACTCATCATTTGTTGAAATATAATTATCTTTTTATTGTAGGACTTTATATCCTGTGCCAGAGGTGAGAATATTGAGACCAAGGGTAAAAGGATAGTTGTAGAAGGCATACCATGGCAGTGGCTAACTGAGGGACCCTCCCAGCCCAGTCTTGGCTTAATTCCTTCCCTCCTCCCATATCTACTTTGAGAGTTATAGGTATAGGGGGTCTGTGTTTTTCACCTAGTAGCTATTTCTGACAACTTTGTTTTACATGAAATAGGGATCAAACCAGAAGAGGAAACAAACACATTTTGATCAAGCAAAATGTTTGCTTTGACTTTCAGAAGTTGCTTTGATGAAAATATACCAAGAACTTTGACATCTTTATTTTCCTTTAAGCTTTTTACATACATACACACACAATATATACACACTCACGCTTTTGTTCAGAAGTCATGCTATATAGTTGGGGGGATTTCCCACTGTAATGGTTCTAAATTCTGGGATTTTAAAAAGTTGGAAATACTTATTTCAAGAGAACTGTGGTACTCAAATTAATGAAAAGCAGCCCCTGATTTTTATGTATTTCATTGCTTTACTATTTTTCTTTTTTCCAAGAACTGCAAGTGACATTTGAACCATGCTGCTGTTATATCTTAAACAAAAACTCAGTGATAAACCAGTATTTAGTCTATTAAAAATACTCTTTTTGAAGAAAAATGTTTGGAAGTCTCTGATTAGCCAGAGTATAGAGTATGGGTTTTCACTGAGAAATATGGTGTACTGTTTTTCTTTGTGAAAACCTAGGAAAATACAAGTGTGGGTGTGATGTGTGTGTTCTATTTGCATTGAAACAATGTAATTTTATGTCTTTTTGCTTTAACTGACTTATTTCAGAAATTGTACAGTCTTTGAGGGGGGGAGTCTTTTCTGTTAATATATTTGCGATTAAAGGATATGGAAAATCCAAATAAATTACTTTTGAAAACAATTTATAATTAAGTTCTTAAAACTATATCCTATCTGTGCCACCTTTATTTTATAAGTAAGGCACAGCCAACAGAAATGACCCATTAGTTTTATGTTCCACAGAAGTCTAGAACAATGTTGCTCTATTTTTTTTAACTTTTGCCCTCTTCTAATATATCTTTTTAAAAACACACCCTCTTTTAGAATTACTTGGGATTTTAATACATGTGACAAATATCAATAGTAATTTCTAAAATATCTACTCTCTTTTTTTTTTTTATTATTATTTTGTGTGCGTGTACCATCAAATCAGATCTGACTGGTACAGGAGGATATTGCGCCTCCTTCTCCGGCAGAGCGTCTGGTGGATTCGAACCGTGTTCCTCTGGGATTGCAATGCAGTTTCTTGCCACTAGGCCACCAGAGCTCCCCTTAAAATATCTACTCTTCAAACTACAGAAGTCTCTTAGCAGCTGTAACTTTGCAAGTCAGCTGCTTTTCCTTTGAATTGTGTTCTTCCTGAAATTTCTTTAAAAGAGACTCAAAGCTTTCTGTTTCAATTAGATATATGTTAGAATATGTTATTGTAATTTGAGTCTTTCTCTCCCCTGTTTTGGAGAAAGTGTAGACTGCTAACAGGCTCTGTTCAGATTTAAAGGCTAGCATCAGGCTAGGATAAAACACATGAAGTAGAGGTGTTAAGCCAGGCAGGTTCAAGACTTCTTAATCTTGTATTTGCCATTAAGTCTATTCTGATCCATGAGTACCTTGTATGTGCACAGTCGAACTACATAGGGTTTTCCTTTGGGAGCAATTCACCAGGGAACTTTGGAGTATGTTCCAGTCACCAACCATAGAACTACCAAGTCAAGCACTTAGCCATTTGCACCAACTAGTTGTCGGGAGGGACCAGTCTTTGGGGAAGGACATCATGCTTGAAAGGGTGGGGTGTCAGCGCTGGGGGGGAAGACCCTGGATATAATGGATTGTCACAGTGGCTGGCAGTAGAATCAGGTGTGTCAGAGATGGTGAGTTGGCTCAGGATAGGGCAAAGTTCAGAGCCTTTGCTCATAAGGTCGCTATGACTGGTGGTTGGCTTGACAATTTAACAGACTCAGACTTTACCTAGGACCTGACAGATACTGTCAGTTATGTTTCCTCGAGTTGCTTGCAACTCCTACATAGTGACCTGACCCTGCTCTATCCAGAGCCAACCTTACTGTCTGACACACCTGTTGCTCCAGTCACTGAGTCAGTCCGTCTCACTGAGGGTCTTCCTCTCTTGCATTGTCCCTCTCCGAGGACTGGTTTCACCCTCTCCAGGACAAACCTGTTGTTTTCTCCTGGCATTCCAAGGTATATTCAATACTCTTCTCCAGCACCACAGCTCAAAGGCATCAACTCCCTATTCCTAGTTGTTGCCCAGCTTCCTAATGCAGGTGTACCTTAGTCTCCAGATTGATGACATTGCTCTTCAGTACTCTGGAGAGGTCCCTGACTGCAGATTTTCCCAAAGCAATACACCTGTGTTTTTTGTTGTTGTTGTTGTTGTTGTTTTGTTCCCACACAGAGTTGAACCCAGGCTGCCTAGGTGAAAAACCAGCAATTCATCTTTTGACTTCCTGGCTGCTGCTACCACCAAGATTGTGGAGCCAAGCAAACTAAAGCTGTTAACCATCTCAATCTCTTCATCTATCATGATGCTGTCGATCAGCCCAGTGGTGAGAATCTTTGTTTTCTTGATGTTGAGTTTGAACCCATATTTAAAGGCTGCAGTCCTTGACCTGCAGCAAGTGCTTCAGGTCCTCAGTTTCAGCAGTCAAGGTTGTTGATGAGTCTTCCTCCAATACTGATGCCACATTCCTCCTCATAGTACCCAGCCTCCCGCATGATCTGTTCTGCACATAGATTGAAAATATTTGGAAATAGGATGCATCCCTGGTGTATACGCTTCCTGATTTTGATCCAAGCAGTATTTTCTTGCTCTGTTCTGCCGACCACCTGCTTCCTGGTCCAAGTATAGGTTTCACATAAGCAAAGTCAGTTGTTCTGGAATAGGCAGGGATAAACAGACACTAGATACAAGCATGTTCTTTGAC